TTTTCGATGGGAAATCGAACTTTAACTTATGGAAAAAAGGGGCCTCGTTCCTTATTTAGGGTTCCTTAGGTCAACGCCCCCACTGTATCCGTATCCGCACCGTCGCGGTCTGGATTCCGGACCGCGATCCCACGGATTCACGAACGCGGATGTCTTGGATCGGCGCCGGGTCCCGCCAGGAAGGGGGCTCGGTCCATTAGAATCTCAGGCACCAAAGCGTCTAGAAGCCCGAAGGGGAGATCTTACCAAGTCTCTCCCTTGCCCGACCTCCAGGAGGATCTGCTGTGATATTTCCGGAGCTTCTCGCACGTCAAGCCCCTGAGATTCTGGAAGCTGGGGCCCTTCAGTTTCTAGGCACGCGAGCCCTGGCGCTCCTCCCGAGGCTGTCGGGACGTCTGCGCGCACCTCCGACCGCTCCTTGCGCCGAGGCAGCCTCTTGCTTCAAGCAGTGGCGTAGCGTCCTGGCTCGCCAACAGCCCTACCAAACAATGCTCTAAGAACCGTTGGTGGTTTCCACGAGATGTTCGCAGAACATTGCTGGCGGAGTCTGTCTTCTTTTATCACATCGGGTTTATGTTCTAAGAACCTTGTTTTTGTAATTCGAACATGTGTGGGCTCTAAGAACATTTCGTGGTAGGCCTACAGGAGTGCCGGGACGGTCGGCCCCTGCTCAGTTGCTGCCCCCCCCTCCCGAGGCCGCGGACGACCACTGCCGCTGCAGGCCGCTGCACCTGCTCGCCGCCGAGGGGCACCTCGAGGCTTATGCTGTTCCAACCTACTTTAGCCTTGACCACCAGAAAGAATTTCGAGCGCCAGAAACAATTATGCAAAAACTCAAGGGTCTTCACGTGCCGGGCCCTGGGAGACACTGTTTCGACACCCCTTCGACACTCTTTTGACACTTGTCCGGGTGCTCGAAATTATTCCTGGGATGTGGTCCTTAAGTACGATGGGATCGGGGGTGGACAGAACCCCCAACAGTGACACGTCGGTTAGTGAATTGTCCGTTTTCGGTTCTCGAGAGGGCGCCGTGGCCGTTATTTTCCAGGCTTGCGCCCGCCAGGTTTGGGCCTCGGGTCGTTTTCACTAAACCACGTCTTACTAAAGGGGGGTCTGTCCATCCCCGATGGGAACAACACAACTCGAGGCCGTGCGGTGGCTGGTGGAGGTGGGCGGGGCGGACCCGCGCGCCGCGGACGGCGCGGGCCGCACGGCGGCCGAGTGGGCGCTGCAGGGCGGCCACGGAGGCGTCGCGGAGTGGCTGGGCCGGCGCGGGTAAAACTCGGAGGAGGAGGAGGAGGAGGGGGAGGAGGGGGAGGGGGAGGAGGAGGAGGAGGAGGAGGAGAGGAGGAGGGAAGGAGGAGGAGGAGCGCAGGAGGAGGAGGAGGAGAGGAGGAGCAAAAGCGAGAGGAGGAGTGAGGAGGGACGAGGGGGCAGGAGGAGGAGGAGAGGAATGGAGGAGGAGGAGGAGGAGGAGGAGGAGGAGAGGAGGAGGAGGAGGAGGAGCGGAGTGTGGAGTGTGGTTTTAGTAGGAGGAGGATGGAGGAGGAGGAGGAGGAGTTGGAGTTGGATTTGGAGGAGTGAGCAGAAGGAGGAGGAGCGAGGAGGAAGAGGAGTGAAGGAGGACGGGGAGGAGGGGAGGAGGGGGAGGAGGGGGGTGAGGAGGTGAGCGAGGAGGCGGAGGAGAGGAGGAGGATGAGGAGGAGTGAGGAGGGGAGAGAGGGAGAAGGAGGAGAGAGGAGGAGGAGAGTAGAGTGGAGAAGGAGGAACGGGGGGAGGAGGCTGGCTTCATAGGAGGGCAGGAAGGAGGAGGAGGAGCGAGGAGGAGGAGGAAAAGGAGGAGGAGGAGGAGGAGGAGGCGGGCGAGGGGGGCTGAGGAGGAGGAGGAGGAGGAGGAGGAGGAGGAGTGAAGATGAGGAGACGAGTGTGGAGGAGGAGGACGCAGTAAGGAGGTTGAGGAGAAGAGGCAGAAGAGGAGGAGCGCAGGAGGAGCGAGTAGGGGTGAGGAGAGATGAGAGAGGAGGAGAGGAAGAAGGAGGAGCGAGGAGCGAGAGGGAGGAGGCGGAGGGCCTCGAGACGGGCGGAGGGTCGGGCGACAAGAGGGGCGTCAGCAGGCCTCCGGATACTTAGAAGCGTCCTGCAAGGAAAAGCGCTAAAAACGTTCGCATTGGCCCGGGCTTGGGTGCAGGGTCCTGCAGGATCCTGCAGGGTCCTGCAGGGTCCTACGCATTGACCAGGGTTTGGGTGCAGGATCTTGCAGGATTCTGCAAGGCCTGGCTGACCCGGGTTTGGATTGACCCGGGTCAGAAGATCCCCGGAGGAGGACAAGGTTCAAGCAGTGGCGAAGCGTCCCGGCTCGCCTACAGTCCTACCAGACAATGATCTAAGAACTTTTCGTGGTTCCCACGAGATGTTCTTAGAACATTTCCGGCGGGGCCGGTCTTGTTTTATCACATTGGGCTTATGTTCTACGAACCTTGTTTTTGTTCTTAAAACATTCTTGGTTCTACGAACATTTCGTGGCATGACTGTAGGAATGCCGGGACGGCCGGCCCCTGCTCAAAAGCTACCCCTACCGCTACCCCCGCCTCGTTTTCTCCTTCTGCTCGGACTCCCATGGGAGGCCCTCCGCACCACCGCTGGCTTCGCCCCGGAGTTCTGGTCGGGACGCGCCCCTGGAGAAAGAGGGAGAGGAGGAGAAGAGGAGAAGAGGAGAAGAGGAGAAGAGGAGAAGAGGAGAAGAGGAGAAGAGGAGAAGAGGAGGAGGAGGAGGAGGAGGAGGAGGGAGGAGGAGGAGGAGGAGGAGAAGGAGGAGGAGGAGGAGGAGGAGGAGGAGCGCCTGCTGGCTTACCCGAAACAGTGGTGCTTCGGAGCTGCCGCCGCCGTGCCCGGCGGGGCGGCGCCGTCCTCGCCCTCGGCCCTCACGAGGTGCGCGGCCAGCGCTCCGCGGGCGACGCTGCCCTGCAGCGTCGTAGCGTCCTCGTCGTCGCCGCCGTCGCCGTCGCCGTCGCCTCGGCATCGCTCGGACGTGTGCATTTTTCCTTCGGCGAGGGCCATCGAGGAGCATCCTTGATCACGTGGCGAAAAACAAAGCACGCACGAGACCGAAAAAAGCACAGGGAAGGGACGTCCGAGCGATGGCGAGTCGCCGTCCTCCTCGTCGTCGGCGTCGCGAAGGGGCGGTGCGCCAGGGAAGGTCGGCGAGGGCCAGAGCGGCGGGGCTGGTGCGCTCGCCACCGGAGAGCCCGAGGCGGTAGACCTCGACGAACGGGAGGCGGCACAGGCACGATGTCTCGGAGCCCCCAGATTTCCCGGATCGGCGTTGGGCCCCCCCCCGGGGATGGGGGCCTACGAAAGTGAAGGTTTAAGTTTATCATGTTCCAACGTACTTTAGCCTTGACTACCAGAAATGATTTCGTGCACCAAGAAGGTCCCGAAACTCGGGGGTTTTCACGTGTCGGGCCCTGGGAGGCGATCCTCGTTCGACACTGCTTCGGCACTTTTTCCTGGGTGCTCGAGATTGTTTCTGGGATGCATGGCCCTTGAGCACGATGCGAGCAGCACGAGGTTCAGCAGCTGTTTGTTCCTCTAGCCGCGTACGTTCGACGCTGTTTCGACACCTGTTCTGGGTGCTCGAACTTATTTCTGGGATCCGATCCTCGAGTACGACGGGAGCAACATGAGCTTGAGCAGCGGTTTGTTCCTCAGGCCCCGCGCTCCGGCACGCGCGCGTGCAGCATCTCTTCGCGGCCTCTGAGCACGCTCCGCCGCTCGCGGCTTCCCCTCCCCTCCCCCCCCTTTTCCCGCGCCCCCTCCCTTCCCTCCCCCCCTGTGTGCCCCCACTCTTGGCTCCGAGGCCTCCCTCGGCTGCCTCTCTGCCGCCTCCTGGGTCCACGCTCGCGGCTTCCTCCCCTCCCCCCCTCCCGCGCCCCTTCCCTTCTCCCTCCCCCCTCGTGTGCCCCACTCTCGGCTCCGATGCCTCCCTCGGCTGCCTATCCGAACTGAGTCTAGCGTTGCGCAGGAGATTAGTCGTGGGCGGGGCTTGCATGTGGACTCTCCCTGAGGCACTGGTGGTAACGCGCAGGTGCTGGCGTGTGAGTTGCAGGTTGCACTGCTTCGGGTCATTTTTATGGCAAGTGGGGATGCCACAGCGGAGCTTAAGCCAACGTGGCTTGATCCAGGGGTCAGGAGAGGGGAGGATGGAGGCTGAGGCGGACGGCTGTGAGCCTGAGACTCCATTAGGGGGGAAAACATGCAGGGACGGAAGGAGAGAAGGGGGGGTCTTGTGCTAACTGCCGCTATGGTGCTGACAAGCTTTGGCGCTCACAGACAACGCAGTATTTACTTGAAAATATCGTGGTGCTTACAGGCATCGTGTTCCTCATTGGGCCCGTAGTGCCTCCAGGCACTGTGGCGCTCACAGGTTTGTTTTGCTCCTGGGCTGCAGTGCTCAAGCGCTCAGACTCACAGGAAGGGAGCGGGGGCGCTGGCGCCTGCCATGGATGTTGCCACCGCGATCAAGGGAAACACGCTCTCGGTAAACTTGGGAATGGAAGTATCGAAAAGCCCGGAGGGCAAGACATGGCATTTCTGGCGAAAGCTGGGGGAAGGCTTGGGAGTGCTGGTGGGTGTTCTCTGCACAGCAGTGCTTCGGCAGCTTGGGTGGAGGAGCTTCCCGAGAGCTTCAGCCAACGCTGCACACCAAAGGTCCGCGGCTCTCCGTATTCTGCATCTCGCGGTCGTCCTGGACATTTGGCGGTTGGACATCCGCCTTCCAGATATTTCGACTTTTTACGGCTTGCTTTATTTCCCAGGTTGTTTTCACGGTCTTGGGCCCCGAAACATTTCCAGAGTGCGAAAAAAGAAACATGCCGCTGCGATGTTTCGTAACGTCTTGATCTGTGCGTCGTCGTCGTCGTGCTTAGGGACCCTTCCTTTTCGTCGCTCATCTGAGGGCCTCGCGCTGGTTCTGACTACCCCCGCCCCGCGCCTTACACGAGGAGTTTCCTCGAGCTTGCGTCCAAGAGAGCGTACGTGCTGCGGAAGCACGACACGGACGCGCGCAGTTTCGTCGCCCCCCGCCCCATCGCGCTGGGCTCTGGTCCTCCGTCTCTCTCTCTCTCTCTCTCTCTGTCTCTCTGCCGTGCACCGCTCATTCTCATGTATATGACGAACGTGAGGCGGTGAGATCGAAGTGGAACGGAGAGTCCCCCACCGGGGAAGTGGTTTCGGGTTCGGGTTCGTGTCGTGCGTGCGGGCGAGGCGAATTTGCGTGGGCGGGCGAGAGGAATGAACCCTCCTCTGGACAGGGCGCGGCGAGGACAGAAGTCCCTTTCCCCCCCGGCCGCGTGGCGGGCGGGTGCAAGGGGTGTCCCGCCGTGGTGTCCCGATTGTTTCCCGTGGTTTGCCGCCGTGGTGTCCCCATGGTGTCCCCATGGTGTCCCGTGGTGTCCCGCGTTTCCCGCGTTGTCCCGCAGTGTCCCGTTGTGTCCTGTGAGATCGATAGTGAGATGGATAGTGAGAGGGGCAGTGACATGGATAGCGAGATCGATCTGAGATCGATAGTGAGGGCGATAGTGATATCGATAGTGAGGTCGACTGTGAGAGGGATAGCGAGATCGATAGTGAGATCGGTGGTGAGATCCATAGTGACGTCGATTGAGTGAGACGTTGGTTCCTCCCCCCAGCAACATCCGTATCACCCGAGGATGGTCGTAAAGGTATATGTTGCCCAGACAGTGCTTGCACTCAAGATGGGTGTCCCGAGGATTCGCCACGCTCCTGCTTGTGGCCGCTCCGTTGCCGCCTGTGGGGGTGCCCCGGGATTCGTTTTGTTTTGTGGTCTGTTGCCGTTCGTTGCCGGCCGTTGCGGCTGTCCCGGGGGTTCGGCATGTTCCAGACCGTTGCCGCTTGTTTGCCGTTGCCGCCTCTAGCTTGCATTGCGTAGCTATATTGCAGCACTTAGCTTACACCACATAGCTTGCACAATGTAGCTTGCACATCCACGGTACAATCATTGACGGTTCTGGGTTCACGCTGGCTGGCGCATACAAACGAAGTTCACACATCCCACACAGTGCATTGTTACATTGTCTTGGGCCCATCAGTTACGGGGCGCAATACACATGGTGTACTCTATGTGTCGTTGGGTATCCCATGTAAGCTATGTGGTGCAGGCTATGTCGTGCGAGGCAGTTTGCGTAAGCCATGTGACGGAAGATTTGTGGTTGAGTTGGGCGGTATACGCGATGCGGTGCAATCTATCTGGTGTGCGCCATGTGTTGTCAGCTCTGTGGTGTAAGCTAGGCGGCGCAATGTAGGCGGTGTAAGTGCAAGCTGTGTGGTGCAAGTTGTGTGCCGAAAGCTATGCTGTGTGAGCCATGTTGTGCAACAGATGCGGTGCAGGCTCTGTGGTGCAAGCCACGCTGCCGCTCCCGGGGGTGTCCACGACACGCGCACGGGCGGCCCACGAGCGGCAGCGGGGCGGATCCTCGGCGGACCCCCCTGGCGCGCGCGGCGCCCGGCGACGCGCCCACGGGCGGGCACGGCGACGGCGCGAGGCTCCCACGCGGCGCCCCACAGAGGGCACTGGTCGGCAGCGCGGCGAGTCCTCGCCGGGCCTGCCCACCTCCCGGGGCGCCAGCGAGAGGGGCCCGCGGGCCGGCAGCGTTGCGGGTCCTCGTCGGGCCCACCGCGCCCACGGGGCGCCCGCGGGCGGGCAGAGACGGCGGCGTGGCAACCCCGTCGACCCGCCCAGCGCACGGTGCGCCCACGAGCTGCGCACGGGCGGCAACGGGCGGCGGCGTGGCGCAACTTCGGCAGAGCCATGCGATTCCCGTGAGATCGGCGTAACAGCTTCTAGTGCAGGCACTGTGTCGATGAGGCACCACGCATGTACGATATTACATGATGCATGTGTATGTGCATCTAGCTGCACGCAAGTAATATGTACACACACTCAATAGAAATAACCTTGGCGAAGGACTCAACCAACTGCAGGTGTGAGTACTGCAACGCAGGTGTGACGCAGGTTGGGGAGCTTCGCTGGCATGACAGGCGGGGACGCGGACGCAGCCACTAGTGGGGCCTTCGGTGGAGTTTCGCAGTTGGCCGTGAAGCGTGTGAGGGGCGTGACGACAAGAAAGGGGGGCGATTGCGGACGCAGCCACTGGGACCTTCGGTGGAGCCCCCTTCCGAAGGGGCCACACAATGTTTGAGGGTCTCGGAAATTATAGGCGTGGGCGCATGCGGACGCAGCCACGGGGGCCTTCGGTGGAGCTCTCGATGGTCTGTGGGTCCACGAAGCGTGCGAGGGGCGTGCCGACATGAGAGGCGGGACGCGTGCGGACGCAGCCATTGGGGCCTTCGTTGGAGCTCCCTATTGCCCACGAAGCGTGTGAAGGGTGTGCTGAAATGGCAGGCGGGGACGCATAGGGACGCAGCCACTGGGGTCTCCCGTTGGTCTCCCTACGGGGCCACGAAGCGCGGGAAGTTGTGCTCACAATAAAAGCGCGAGGGCGTATGTGGACGCAGCCACTGGGGCCTTCGGCGAAGCTGCATATGGGGCCATGTAACGTCTGAGGGTTGTGCCGAAATGGGTGGAGGGCAGAGGCAAGGATGTGGGAGGCAAGAGGAGGGGGAGGAGGTGATGCGATGAGACGCGGGGCGCTGCTGATTCAAAACGTGGGCCCAACACCACAGGGTGGTTCGTACAGAACATAGAGAAAACCACATGGTAGGGACGGGCAACCTTCCCAAGGGTGTCCTTGCATCCGTGCCTCCTCGGTCCGTCCTTCGCCTCGTTCGCTGGCCGCGCCCCGCTTGACAAGCATCGAAATGGGCGTCCAAGGCCACTGCATCCTGACCGCGCATCCTCACGGTACGGGCCGACTGCAGACGGTTATTGCTTCCTTGCCTCAGTGGTGTCTTCTTGAGCCCCCCCGTGCGCCCTCGTCGCCACGGCCGGATGCTCGCCTGGTAAGACGGCGACGCGTGAAAGGTCCCAGGAGTAGCGCTATCGGTATGCTTCGTTTTCCTATGGTGCGGTTGTCCTTGCTGTGCCTCGGGGAGGCGTCCCCACGCCGCGGCTGGATCCGCCTCGAAGGTCTGGTCAGACCGCACCTCTGGAGAGGCTCCGGGGGAGGATCCAAGACGTGCGGTGTGTCGGACAAAAGTCAATGCGCCCTTTTCGCGGTCGTCGGCCTCCTTCCAGACCTCGGAACCGTCAGAAACTATTCGGGCCCCTGGAAAAACTGCTCCCCGGGGAAGGGTTCCGGAGGTGGCGACGAGACGCTTCCCAGAGGGCGAGAAGGCAAATATAGCTTTCAGAGGCTGCGGCCCTCGATGATCCTCCCGTCTTGCTCCCCCTCACGCCTCCGAATCTGCCCAGAAGGTAGGTCCGTAGCAGCCACTTTGGCTCAAGCTTCTTGCTCGAGGCGCTTCCTCTGTGCCCCCCCCGCTGCCCGCGAGCGCCGAGATGCCCGGCGCAGAGCTGTCCCTTGCCTTCGCCGCGCCCGTTGCCGCCTCCGGCTCGGCGGCCAGCCTTCGGGGCGCCGCGCCGCCCGCGGCGGCGCGGGCCGCCCCGGCGCAGGCCGGCGCCGAGGCTGGCGCCGCCGCGTCGCCCTGGCTGCTCGGCTCCGCCGCGGCTTTGGCCGCCGCGGCTGCTGCCGGCGCCAGCAGGAGGCCGGCGCGCGGCGCGCGGCGCGCGCTGCCGGCGGCGACGGCCGCGGCGGTGGAGGCGCCGCCCGCGGCTGCCGCAGCGGAGGCCCCCACGCCGCCGCCGCCCTTCGACCCCGCCAAGGCTCATGAGGGGAAAAACACACAGACACAATTAATCGTCGATTCCCCAAAAAATATGGGAAAATATGGGAAGTGGGGGGGAAGACAAAAACTTAGAAAATATGGGAAATTATAGGGTATATTCTTATTTGTGTGTATTTATTTGTGTGTCCCAGTTCCCCTGCAAAGGCGGTCGGCGCGACGGCGCCCCTGGGCTTCTTCGACCCGCTCGGGTTCTGCCGGGTCGGCGACTACGGGGGCTTCCACAGGCTCCGCAGCGCCGAGCTGAAGCACGGGCGCGTGGCCATGATGGCCGCCTTCGGGACCGCGTTCCAGCACTTCGTGAAGCTGCCCGGCTTTGAGGGCACCCCCGCGGGGCTCGGGGCTCTCACCGACCCCTCCGGCGTGCTCGGCTTCGCCTGCCTCGTCCTCCCCATCGCCGCGATCACCGAGACCGTGTACTGGAAGGACGACGACCTGTCCAAGGAGCCGGGCAACTTCGGGGACCCGGGCGACTGGGCGGGTCTCTTCGGCGCCTTCGGCGGCGGCTACAGCGACGAGATCCGGAACAAGGAGATCAACAACGGACGCATGGCCATGTTCTCGGTCGTGGGCATCATAGTGGCGGAGCTCGCCACCGGCAAGGACGGCATCCAGCAGTTCGGCCTCTGAGGCTGCCGGGCGGCAGGGCGCTGCGCCTGCTTCGAGCGCCCTGCGAAGCACAGGTCGCCTCGAGGCACCTCGAGGCGACCCCGAGGCCCCTCGAGGCGCCCCTCGAGGCACGGGGTGCCTCGGGGCCCTTCCGTCTTCGGGGCCTCTGCGCCCCCCTCTCGCGGCCTTTTCGCGCCCCCCCCCGGGGGCTGTCCTGGGGCGCAGCCCGTGCGCTCCCTGCTCGCGGCAATCTTGTTCCTTGATCTTCGCAGCCACCGCGCGGCTGCCCACAAACAAAATCGAATCATCCATGCGTCGGGGGTGGACAGAGCCCCCACCCTGACACGTCGATTGGTGAATTGTCCGCTTCCGGTTCTCGAGAGGGCGCCGCGGCCGTCATTTTTCGGGCCTGCGCCCGCCAGGTTGGGGCCCGAGGTCCTTTTCACGAAGCCACGTTTTACCAAAGGGGGTTCGGTCCACCCCCGAATACGGTATGTTCGTGTCGTGTCGACCGGCGGCGACCCCGCCGCTGGAGTTCCGCGTGGACCGCCACCAGCGACCCAGTCTGGCATGTCTTTCTACAGGGGAAATACTCAAGAATAGTAAAAAATAGTCTGGGCACGTTTTCTCGGTTAATCAGAGTGAGGGTGCCGAACGGCCATTCATTGTCCCTGGGTGCGTGGCTCAAGTGGGGATCCGTGGTAAGGATTATGTTTGTTGCGTTGTTGCAATGTTGTTGTTGTTGCTGCTGCTGCTGCTTTTGTTGTTGTGTTTGTTGATGTTGCTGTTGCTGTTGTTGTTGTTGCTGTTGCTGTTGCTGTTGCTGTTGCTGTTGTGGTTGTTGTTGTTGTTGTTGTTGCTGTTGTTGTTGTTGCTGTTGTTGTTGTTGTTGTTGTTGTTGTTGTTGTTGTTGTTGTTGTTATTGTTGTTGTTGTTGTTATTGTTGTTGTTGTTGTTGTTGTTGTTGTTGTTGTTGTTGTTGTTGTTGGTGTTGGTGTTGGTGTTGTTGATGTTGGTGGTGTTGGTGTTGTTGTTGTTGGTGTTGTTGTTGTTGTTGTTGTTGTTGTTGTTGTGGTTGTTGTTGTGGTGTCCTGTTGTTGTGGGTGTTAGTTGATTCGTTGTGTCGTTCGCCACCGCGACCTCACCAGCGCCATACTCGCCGTTACCCACCCCGCGGACCCACCCACGGACCCCCCCCCGCGACCCACCCAGCGACCCACACGCCCGACCCACCCCGCGAACCCACCCGAGAAGACCTACCGAGCTCTGACAACCCGCGACCCCCGCGACCCACCCCCGCCCACCCCGACGACCCATCCGACAACCCACCGCGAAACCAACTGCCTACCCACTTGCAGACCACCCGCGACCACCCCGAAGGACCCACCGCGACCAACAGCGACCCCACCACCCGCGACCCACCCGCGACCAAATGCGACCCGCTTGCGACCCCACCCGCGACCTACCCCGCGACCCATCCGCGACCCACCCGCGCACCCACCCGCGACCCAACAGGACCACCCGAGCACCCACCCGACGACCCCGCTGCCCGACTCATTTGCCCACTCCCGCGACCCACCCGACGACCCACCCAGTGACCCATCCGCGACCCACTTGCGACACACATGCGACCCACCCGCGACCCACCCCGCGACCCACCCGCCACCCACCCGCGACCCACCCGCGACCCAGCCGCGACCCATGTGCGACCCACCCGCGATCTACTTGTTTGGTTTAACGAAAAATCTGCGCCTGAGGTGGGCTCGTTGTATGACTTGTGAAATTTGGCGCCTGCGGCGAGCTTCTCCAGAGTCTCGCAGACTGCCGACGTCCCCACCGCCCCCTCACTCTTATCCGCGCCTGCTGGGTGTTCATATTTTTGTGCGGCTGCTTTGACAATGCTTTAGTTGTCCTCCGAAATCCGCCTGTAGGAGGGCATGCCCAACCTCAGACTGCCGAGGCGCGGCCTCGGGGACGCCCGATCCCACGGGCACGCCTCGCGCGGGGCCCACCCCCTGCGCAGAGTCGCGACCCCTGCGGCCGCAGGGCGTCGCGGCCGACTCGGCGTCGGGGCCGCCAGGCCGTCCATGTGGGCAGTGGGCCACGTCTTGAAAGTCTCCCGCTCCGTTCTGCCCGCTCCTCTGCTGGGGCGAGAAGGGTTGTATCGGGCCTGTCCCTCAACAGGGGGCATATTCAAAACTGGTCAAAAAATAGTCTGAGGATGATTTGTTGAGCATGTTTGGTTATTTGTGGGTTATTTTGCTTGAACATGCTTTATTCTTCGTCCAGAATCAGCCTGTAGGGGGACAGGCCCGGCTTAAGTGTAGGGAGGACGAGGGCGAGGACGAGGACGAGGACCTCCTGTAACGAGCACAGGGAGGACGGGGACGACGACTCCGCCCACTCCCGAGACGAGCAGGGAGCGAGGACGAGGACCTCGTCCTCGTCCTCATTCTCCCGACTTGATCTGGCTCCGTCCCACGATTTTGACGGCAGCGCGATGTGATTCGCGGGGCCAGTTGTCCTGCCCCCTTTTCTGCCATTTTTTCCCTCCTCCGTCCTCGTCCTCTTCTCTCTTCACAGCTCCGTCTCACGATCTTGATGCCTGCGCGATCTGGTTTGCAGTGCCAGCGGCTGTGTGAGGATGTGCGAGGCTGGTCGGCGGCTGCGTGTTTTTTTGTTGCGACATCGCAGGAGTCTGTTCTTTCAGGGTCCGGCGAGAACCCGGGCTATCGGGACCGCCTCCCTTTCCCCTCCTGGATAACTTGACCCGTGTCGGCTGCGCAGGCCCGAAGGGCGCTGCCCACACGGCCCCGACCGAAAAGGTTACACTATATCGGCCGGCACGTCCCCCCGCTCCGCCCCCCCCCCCACCGGATAACCCGGGCGATCGCCGAAACATGGAAAAGGTTCTCTACTGAGCATCTCTCTCGCCCGCGATCTTCAGCCCGCGTTGCGACCTTCCCCCGCCTCCCTCGCCCTCCGCACCGCGCGACACGCGGGCCTTGGCAGGGGAGGCGCGTGGCGGGCATGTTTGTTGCGCACCACCCTCGCGAAACAGCAAGACAGGGCCGCGGTGCCTCGTCCTCCTCCGCCCTCCTCCCTCCTCCCTCGTCCCTCTCCTTGTCCTCTTCCTCGCTCCTCCCTCCTCCTCCTTGTTCTCCTCCTCCTCCTCCTCCTCCTCCCCTCCTCCTCTTCCTCCTCCTCCTCCTCCTTAGGTTAACCCCGAGGGCTCCAACATCATTAGCGGGATCTACTCGTCTTTGGTCCAGGCTGTTGAGGGCACCATTCAAGCTCATCATGGAGAACATTTTCTACGGCCACAGTCTTATCGACATAAGTCCATTTTACGACACCGTCGCTTGGCTCAAGTTGGCTGGCGCAGCTATCAGATTGGGATTCCCTCCTACCGTACCACTGCTCGAACTTTACAGTGTGCGGCGCCCCGCACGCTCAACCAGCTCAATGCGTTCTCGCAGCCATTCGAGCCCACCCAGAGCATCATACAAGGACTTCGTTCTGGGACTCGGCTGGCAAGGGTTATGACTTATTGCATCATGCAACGCATCAGCACCGTGAACGTGCGCTGCAGTCATCGGCTATGGATCGACGACCTGTCGCAGGCCACCAAGGGCTCACGGGAGGCTGTGAAAAAAGAACATCATAAATGTATTTTGGCCACCGCAGCTGGATTGAGGATTCAGAATTTGTCGATTGCACCTAAGTCCGTCATCGTGTGTTCTTTCCACGGCGACGCGAAGGCTTTTTCTCGAGCGTTGAGGATCAGAGGCATCTTTGCACTTGCTCGTCAGACATCCTACCTTGGTGTTGACCTAGGAGTTGGTAGGCGGCATACCGTGAGCAGCGCACCAAGCGTAACCTCAAACATGTTCTCAGGCATCAGAAGGTCGTGAGGCACACGACGGTGATCTGGCGGGCGCAGTTGACTTTTCGCCTCGAACGCCAGGGCGCTGCGCCCGCTGGCAGTTATAGATTTCACTTGCATGGAGTTTTCGGATCTCACCTCGCAGCATATCGTCGAAGGCTAAGCGCAGCCTGCAGCGCCAAGACAAAGGGGCGGTGCCTCACCACGTTGCTTGCAATTGAGGCCCCCACCCTGGACCCAGCGATGAAGCTAGCTGCAGGAAATCTCGAGCTATGGCTTCAGCAGTGGCGCGGTCAATCGCAGATGCGAGGTGAAATCGCGCGCGCATGGCCTAAAGTTCGAGCACATCTTGAACGCGCCCCCGGAGCGCAGCGTTGTCGTCATGTCCGTGGGCCGACGTCAGCAAGTATAACATGTATGTTAGGCTTTGGATGGGTTCCTCAGACACTTACGTCCTGGGAGCCAGCAGGGGACTACAAGTGGGAGTTCCCCGACGAGAATGTCACATGTACCCCTGCTCTTGGCAACTTCAAAGGGCTCACCGTCGACGTCAAGGCTGCAGCCATGGCACCTTTGTGGAGATAAGCTGAACGACACCCTGACGGGAAGGGCATCGGCGGCGGCATTGACGTGCACTCGCTCCGCAAGTTGCTCTCACAGCTTAGGGGTGTACGACCTGGATGACCTCGGCTTGCAGGACTGCTCCTTAACTTCGCGTCGGGCGGAGCCTGGCCCATGGCCAGGACGGACGAACAGCTTTCTCGATCTCGGAGTGCTGGCGCCTCTACGGCGGTGAATACGCGTGGAGCGAATTCAGCAGTGCGAGCGCGAGCTCATATTGACGTTGATGGTGATCGATGTGGCAGAGAGCGGGAGACATATCACAGGTATTGGAGTTGTTCTCAGAATTCTGGACCGGCCGCTTATGAGAAGAGCAAAAGATTGGAGGGCGAAGCCAGGACGCAGCACGAGATGCAGGAATGCTTTTGGCTCCGACGTCTTTCCCCGCAGGCCTGGACCCAGATCCCTCCTGCACCCGATGCCCACATCTGGGATAGTGAAGGCTTAAACGATAGAGTGCGCACTGCATGTTTATCAATGGGACCTGATGCAGCCCCCACGGTCATCTTCGGCGACGCCAGAGGTGGCCCCGACACCGCCGACCCCAGATTGAAGAGAGCCGCCCTTGGTATCGCCACGATCGCTGATTTTGTTAATCCCGCCGTCGAGGGCTATATCACGGGCCCGCTCTCTGGCAGTCGGCAGCTGTGGGGCGCCGGGAACCCCGAGCGCTCTGGTTAGCAATCTGGGCGAGCCAAGGGCCACGGATTGTGAGAGCGTGTTCAAGGGCTGGAATGCTCAGAGATATATCCACCTTCGCGGCGAAGACAGTGACGATTGGGCCAAGAGTGGACAGCTGTTTGCTAACAGGCCTCCAGAACTTGTGCAGGCGCGCGTTGTGAATTCTCACCTCACATGCGAAGACAGGGCGAGCAGAATCCTGGCAGGTTGCTGGTAACACGACAACAAGTGAACTGGTTCGGCTCGCTGCTCTCGGCGCGCAGCTACCTGAACACGCTCGGCCTGCAGTCTTGCTGGTAGGACGGCGAGCACGCGTCGTTCGGCACAGGCTCCCCCGAGCTTCCCCGGACGTGCTGGCCGCGAAGGCCAAAAAGAGGAGGCAGGGAAACGGCGGGTCCTCATCCTCCTATCCCTCCTCCTCCTGCGCCGTCCATAGTAGCGGCACTCACTTCCCAGCACCAATTAAACGATTTTGGTTTCAAATGTTCCCGGTGTTTGGGCACGGCCACCCAGGCCAGAACCACCGAGTGGAAACGGTCCCCGTGCTTCAATTTAAGCTTCTGGATGCTAACGGAAAGTCCCACACACTTCCTGCAAATCAGTAGCTACATTTAGCGGGGGGCTGGGTGCACGAGAGTCACCAGATGACGTTGAACACGTCTTTAAGCCTCTGGTTCAGGTGGGTGTGCGGGTCCGTTTCAGGTAAGCGAAAGTCTGCCCTGCAGGATCAGTGTCTGTTGCGTACCACGGCGACTGGAGAAGTGCACATGAAGAGGACTCGTCCGGGACAGTTGCCGAATGTCTTGAGCAAAGCCGAGCTGGCCAGCCGACAGGCCAACCCGAGGAACCCTCCCTCCTTCCCCCCATTCAAGCCCTTATTCCTTTCACGTAGTGAGCCGACATTATCATTATCATTTTCCTCCACCTCCTCATCATCATCCGCATCACGACCACAAACATAATCTATCATAACCATCCTCGTTTTCCTCCCCTCATCATTCTCACCAACATCATCAGCAGCATCACCATCACCATCACCATCGTCATCCTCATCACTATCACCAACATCATCCTCATCACCATCATCCTAGCCTTCATTAATACCACCATTATTCTCATCATTAGCATCGCCATCACCATCGTCATCATCGCCATCATCATCATTATCACAACCATCGCCACCGAAGTCACCATCTCCATCATCATCACCATCATGATCACCATCGCCATCACCATCATAATCACCATCAGCAGCAACATCAACATCATTATTACCAGCAGCAGCATCAACACCAGCATCATATCCCTCCCCCCGTGGTTTCTCTCTTTCTCTTTCTTTCTCTCCGCATCGCCAGGAGCGGACGCTGGCCATGCTGGTCCTCACCGCCATCCACGACATCATGAAAACCGTACAGCTTCTGCCCACCGCCCGCGGCTCAGACCACGGGGCGCATGGTGATCCCGTGATCCTCCTCTTCTATAGTGACGAGTGCCGTCGCCCCCCTCCCCTCAGGAACCGGGAACACCCTACAAGCCTCGTCTCATCTTGTGTGCCAAAGCGCTACGGGTCGGTTGTTGAAAGTAGGTGTTTCTAGACCCCCATATCCCAATCTACTTCAAGCGATTTCCTACTTCAAGAGTCGATCCGTGTTTGCTGTCGTTTGTTCTTCGGTGGGCGGGCCCGAACCGAATCTACGTTATCCGCCCCCCTTACTCCATGCTTCCACCTACTTCTTCCGACCGACGGGTACTGGGCGGAGGCATGGATTGGCGGAGGGAGGAGGGGGAGGAGGAGGAAGGACACTCGGGGCGCTGTCTCTTCGACACGAGGACCAAACACCACAGGACGATGGGGAAAAATCAGAATCGCTGCTGAGTGTCGCGGCAACCCGCACCTTCGGGCGCTCCTCAGCAGGCGCGCTCTTCAGTGCTGAGAGGGTGATGTCGGAGTTCGGACACTTCCGCGCTCGAGTGGAAGATCCGCTTCCAGCATTGGAGCAGCGCTGACCACTGGTACCAAATGCCACAGTCTTTTTATTACTGCTGTCGTGGCTTCACGAAGCATACACCGCAATCGCATGCCAAGGCCAGGGTCGAGGGATCCTTGCCCCCAGCGTCGACGGCATGGCCGTGGCGGCGAGGTTGGGCGGCTGGTTGCGGAACTGTCAATGGGAAGTGAGGCTTTTGCATGTTCTTTCTGCTATGCCGAGGGGGCGGTAGCTTAAAGTGGGGGAGTCCCCTCTTAGTCATGTCTGCTTGCCGTCTTGCTCGTCTCCTGCTGCTGCTGCTGTTGCATCTGATCTAAGCCTTCCATCTCGCCGCTGCTCACCTCGAAGCTTTCTTATCCTCGTCTATCCCTTCCCCATCCTCTTCATTCTTTGTCTGCCCCCTCCGGGTCCTTGTCCTTGTCCTTTCCCTCCATGTCTTCCTCCTTGTCGCCATCGTCGCCCGCGGGCCCCGCATCCCAAACACAGGCGGCCCGCCCGTGACGCCAACACTTGAGAAAAACGTGGTACGTGCGCACGTACCTCACGCATGTTGGATGCCCCCTGCTTGCACATATTATTGCGCTCCAGAAATCCGACGACCCCATATTTGATATCTCTTCTAGCGCCCACACATGAAGCCACACATGTGTACACGCGCCACACGCATGCTCGATACTCGCATATCCCCTCTCTGCGCACATGTCTGCACATGTGAGGAATCCGACACACTTCTAATGGATACCCACCCCATTGACGCGATGCGGCTCTATGTGGAGCCCGATTTTCTCCACGCCGACGTCGCCGATGCGTAGCGATCCTCCGACCCCACATACTCGGACCCCATCTGGGAGGCTTCCAGTGGGCGACCAGAAACTTCCTGGGAACGAGCACCGCTGGGGGAGGAGGAGGATGGAGGAGGACGACCCATGGGATGATGGAGGAGGATGGAGGAGGAGCATGGATGAGGGTCGACGTCTTGGAGGCTTGAAGATTTGTCGGGCTGCAGGAGCCTCCCGGAGGCCTCCGGGGACCTCCGGAGGCCCCCGGGAACCTCCGGCGGCCTCTGGGGGGCCTCCGGCGGGGCGGGGCAGCTGCACGGCCCACGGAGTAGCGCCTCCCTGGAGTTGCGCGCTGTTCCTCGTCGTGATGGCAGTCGTCGTCGTCGTCGTCGTCGTCGTCGTCGTCGTCGTCGTCGTCGTCGGCGTCGGCGTCGGCGTCGGCGTCGGCGTCGGCGTCGGCGTCGTCGTCGTCGTCGTCCGTCGTCCGTCGTCCGTCGTCCGTCGTCCGTCGTCCGTCGTCGTCGTCGTCGTCGTCGTCGTCGTCGTCGTCGTCGTCGTCGTCGTCGTCGTCCGTCGCCGTTGTCGTGCACGTCGTCGTCGTGTTGTCGCGGTCGTCACGGTGCGCGTCCGTGGAGATGCATCCCATACTTTCGTCGGCGGCGGGGGGGGTGCCTCTGGCGAGACCATCGACAGAGTTTCGCCATGATTTCTTTGTGTTCGCTTGCCTGTGTAGGTGCCTTCGCAGACTCTGGACCCGATCAATTTTGCTTGACTCAAGCTGCGCGAGGGGTAACCACAAGAAGACAAGGCGGGCGCAGGAGTGGGGACGTCCTTGCTGCGCATCGTGGCCTTTCTTCATTATCCTCGACATCAGCTGTCCTGTCTGCTCATGCCTCCCTGCTTGCCTCAGCAGTCTGGTGATGCATCAAACCATACGCATATTTGTATTCCCTCAGGTCTGCAAGAAGCATGGCACCTTCCGCGGTTACAAGGTCGGCGAGGTGATCAACGACCACGACGCTGCGCTCGCGTACATTCTCGAGGAAGGCTGTTGTTGTCGCAGTCCAATGTGCGTGCGCCCAGTCGTCTTGCCAAATTGTTGTCCCGAGGCATCTCGGAGCCTCGCCCTGTGCTGAGGCCGCAGGGGTGCATCCGGGGCACCCGTGGGCCCACCAGGCACGCTCTGCCGTGCGACCGCAGTTGGCCGGATCGGGGAATTCCGCCCATGCCAAAGCAGGGTTGGACCTAAACGCTTTTCTGCTGGACTTCGGCTGTGCTTTGTTTTTCGTTTCGGCAGGGAGGTGCAGGAAGACAGGCAGAGCAGAACGAACATCAACACGAAAACCAAACGGACACACAACGTTTGGGGTCAGCCCAGTGTCAAAGCTGCACGCTCTGGCTCCAGACACCCCATGCCTTGTTTTTGTTTTTTGCAGTACGCGGTCCCCGGAGGTCCCGACCCCTTCCCGGGGCAGGTGTTTCGTTCCGAGGAGTTGTTCTGTTGACGGTCCTGGGGCCCGACGAGAGCCCGCGAAGACCGACAGCGACGGGCAGAACACATGCATGTGTTTGTCAACACGGTGGAGGTACGGAAAGCTGCACACATGGCCATGTTTGGTTTCCAGGGTGCGGTTTGGCCAGCGTCGGCCTGGTCTCAGAGACATTTCAGGCTCACGGCGCACGGTTGTCGACACCCATCAGGCAGCTCAAGACAACACGGCATTTCTCATAGACTCCAGATTCCGCTTCAGAAGGTCAAGAATTTGGATTGGACCCTGGGCGTTTTCATGGAGTTTCTTTTGCGTTCCGTAGAAAGTGTCGCATCTGGACCTGGACTACTGCTAAGCAAACGCTTGGGATGATGTGCATCTTATTCGCGTAATTTGTTGCTCCCGGTGTGCCTGGGCATCACTCCCATCCCGAGGTTCCCCAGGTCTCTGCCTCATTCCCTCTCTCTGCTTCCCCCTCCCCGCATTGGGAGCAGGAAGCGCACCACCACCACCTGGGGGGATTCAGGATGAGCTGGCGTGCGTGTGGGCGGCATGTGTGCACGGTGTCCCGCGAGAGCGCCCGAAACGATATGCACCACCACCACCACCACCACCACCACCACCACCACCACCACCACCACTTCCACCACCACCACCACCACCACCACCACCACCACCACCACCACCACCACCACCACCACCACCACCACCCCTGACCACCCTCTGCCTCCATCCTCCAGGCGCTGGTGGTGGTGCGTTCCTAGACTATCGACGTCGTGATTTCACAACGTCGACCCCCAGAGGTCTGGACCCCTTCCCGGGGACCAGTTTTTCGTCCTGAGTCGTTTCTTGGGAGTGCCTAGGCTTGGGAAGGGCCCCCGGAGTCCGAAAACAGGGAAGAACCTCCCGTCGTGGCTTTGTAACAACGCGGGGGGTCTGGGTTCTCCGTGCCTCACCAGACCCCTGCGGTCGTGACCTTTCCGCCGGGTGGCTCTCCCCGAAGGGAGGAGGGGGAGGAGGAGGAGGAGGAGGAGGAGGAGGAGGAGGAGGAGGATGGGGAGCGAGGGAGGAGGGCGAAGGAAGAGCGAGGAGGAGGAGAGGAGGATAGGAGGAGGAGGAGGAGGAGGAGGAGGGAAAGGAGGACGAGGAGAGGAGCGGGAAGGAGGAGGAGGAGGAGAGAGGAGGAGGGAGGAGGAGGGAGGAGGGGAGGAGGAGGAGGGATGGAGGACCCTCCCCAGCCGGGCCGGCTTCTCTCCCGCGGCCCCACGTGGTGCCGGGCATCGGCCTCAGGAGGACGAGCACTGCGTCGGGCATGCCCCCTTCTTCAGGAGGAGGACTCAAGAGTGGCAAGGAACAAATCAAATCGAATGCCCCCCCTACAGAAGGGCATGTCCCTCCACAGCTGTGATGCTCCAACCTACTTTCGCCTCGAGCACCGGAAAGAACTCCGAGCGCCAGAAAAAAAGTACCTAAACTCGAGGGTTTTCCCGCGTCGGGCCCTGGGAGACACTCGTCCGACACTGTTTCGACACTATTTCGGCACTCTCTCGACACTTTTCCCGGTGCTCGAAATTACTTTGGGATGTGGTCCTTAAGTACGATGGGAGCAACATAGTTCTACAGGAGGAATCTTCAATAATATACTAAACATAGTGTTGGGATATTTTGTTACTTTTTCGCACTTTCGTCCAACATCCGCCTGTAGTAGGAGACGCCCGACCTATGGGTAGCCTTGATTTCGGAAACTGGAACATGTACATTACCAGTGGCGGGCTGTTTTTCAATCCCCGGACTTTTTGAGGGTCGGGGACGACGCTGGGGTGGTGTGGTGCATACTTGTTTCCTCGATGTCCCCGGGAAGCAGTGAAACATGTATACACCAGGGTCCCGTATACACCAGGATCCGCTCTCCAGTGCAAATTTCAATGCAGGGCCGCAAAAAGCGTCGGTATATGTAGAGTTCGGTTCCTTAAATGCTTCGATCCCAGGCATGATCGCGTCGTAAACAAAAATCAGGACGGGAGGTTTCTTGGCCAATTTCGGCATCGGGAGGCCCTCGCCGGGCCTCGGGACCGTCAAAAACGACTCAGGATGAAAAACCGGCCCCAGGGAAAGTCGGGCTTAGCTCCAGTAAGAATCAGATGTGCGCGGGGAAATTGAGGCCTCAGTACACCACAGACAGTGTGATTCGTGCCTTCTCTCACACATCATAAAAGTACCCACTGTCACTTCGTTCCGGCCACTGCCGGTGTCTCCAGGGCCACAACGCCCGCATCCCGGAGAGGTCCCACAGCGGCTTGCCAGGGCCCACATTTGGCAGCGCGTTCGGCTGTCCTCAGCCATCCAAAACCTTCCATCACCTCGGCGTCGCCCCACCATCTTTACACTGTGTGTGCGTCGCCCCCCCAAGGGGCGACGCGCGCACCGAGAAATCTTAGAGTAGATGCGTCGTGGCGGGCGCTGTCTTTCTGGCCGCACCGCTCGCGAAATGATATACTACGAGATGGGTATACTATATGTTCGGGTCGGACGCGCGCCTCCAAGGAGGACATATAGTATTAGTATGTCTCTGTGCGTCCCATAACCGATTTATATAATCGCTGCTAAGGTTGTCGGCGGCTTCTGGGACGGCTTAGGACAACACAGTGCGGTAATGAGATTTCTCCCTCATTGACTCACGCAAGACGAGGGGCCGTCTCGGGACCACGCAGAGCGGAGCCAGAGAACGAGACCACTGCACAGGAGCCGTCGCAGGTTCGGAGGCGCCCTCGGCCCAGGCAGCCGTGGGCTTGCTGCCTGCAGGAGCATGTGCTGGCAACGGTTACCTCGTCCGTCAGCCTTGGCGGGTTATATGTTCGCTCTGGGGGCCTTCCTGGGGCCCACCCGACGGATCTCTTCGACCCGAGCTCGTTCCCACTTCGATTTCTGGTTCCACGCGAGCTCGACTCCAAAGCTCGACTCGAGCTCGACTCGAGCTCGGCCCGAGTCGACAGACCTTCGACGCCAGCATCGACGCACGACTGGCGCGAGCGGCTCCGGGAGGGCCTCCAGAACGATCACCGAGCGCTCGGGAGGGTCGGGGGCCTCGCGGCCCGCGGGCCGCGCGCGCCCCACGCTCGGGTGCGGAGGAGCCCCCCCCCGTACGCTGTCGCACGTCGCTCTCGCCTTCTCCGCGGCGGCGCGCGGCGAGACGGCAAAGAGACGACGCTCCAGCACCACCCGGGCCTGCTCCCGTCGTACGCGGCCCTGCCCCGGGAGCAGCAGGAGAGCATCAAGTTCACGCAGAGCAAGATGGAGTACAACATGGGCTGGCTGGTGCAGGCGGAGGCCCCCCCAGGCGCCTCTTCGCAGAAACAGCCGGGTGCGGGCAGCCCTCCCTCATTGTGCCGCATCGGTTATTGTTACTTGGCTGGATGTGTAGTCATATGTATATGTTCGTCTGTGTGTGTGTGTGTTGAGGACGAGCTCGGCGAATCACCGCCGCCACTTGCCTTTCGGAAGCGAATGTGTAGCCAGTCGACGGGCCAAAGTCTGGCTAAGCGATGGGACTGTATGTCCGCCCCAGCCGTTGTAGAGACCCTTGGAGGAAAATATTGGGCGAGGAAGATAGAGAGAGAGAGAGCGAAAGAAAGAGAGAGAGAGAACAAATATACATATATATATATATTTACATGTATAGAGTGATCGACTCCAGCCACTACTGGCCGTTCCATTGCTGCTGCTGCTGTTGCTGCTGCTGCTCTTCCTCCTCCCCCTCCGCTCGCCTGCTGCCCTCTGCTCGCTCGCCGCTCGCTCGCCGGAGGAGCCCTCTTCCGGAAGTTCAAGCGCGTGATCGAGTCTGGCCAGGCGCGGGGCAGTTGGCCCGCTCGGGTTGCCTCGCGCCCTTCTCCTCTGCCGTCCGCCTGCTCCTCGTCCTCCTCGTCCCGCCTCCGTCCTCATTCCTTCCGTCCTCAGACCTCCTCTCTCCCCTTTCTCCTCCCTCCATTCTTTGTCCTTCAAAATGATTTCTCCCTGTCGCACCCCGAGGCCAGTTTTTAGGGCGGTCCGGGCGTTTCGCCTGATACGTCCTCACCATGTTTGACCCTGCAGCTTTCGAACTGGCAACAGTTTCACATATTGGGGGCGGGTGGTTTTCAAAATGTGGCTCTCGCATAAGCGCCGCGCACATTCGCAGTAAAAAGTTACAAGAGTTTCACGGATTGAGGGCGGGTGGTTTTCAAAAAGTGACTCTCGCCGTAGCGCTGCGCACATTCGTTTCAAACAATTTCAAGAGTTTCCCGGCTTGAGAGCGGGTGGTTTTCAAAAAGTGGCTCTCGCCTTAGCGCCGCCTCCTCTCTCTTCCTCCTCCTCCTCCTCCTCCTCCTCCTCCTCCTCCTGGTTCTCTTCGTTCCTTCTCCGCAGGCACTGGCTTAAGTGTTGAGGCTCCCCGGAGGTCAAAGTGACACCGCTAATTCCTGGCCCACGCTAGGGGTGGGAGTGCTTGCATTGAGGGCGAGCTGGAGGTGAGCTGGCAGGCCTTCTCGGGCTGTTCCGAGAAGGAGCTGCAGGGACTCTCCGACGTCGTCGGGGAGGCGGACTGCACCAGTCGCGGCGGCCAGCCCCTTCGGGCCCACCCCTCCCCCGTTGGAGGTCGGCATGTGCTCGACCGCGAGGCACTGCACTTAAGTCGGGCCTGTCCCTCTGCAGGAGGAGTATTCAAGAATAGTCCAAAAATAGTATGGAGACGTTTTTTTTTGAATATTCTTGGTTCATTTTTGAATGTTTCTAAACTGTTTCTAGTTTTCCCTCAAACATCCCCTGTAGGGGGACAGGCCCGACTTACCACTGCACGCTCGCGCGGCGATGCGTCGCTGGACGTTTCGGATGCAGCCCCTGCGAGGTAAGACTCGGCATCGGAGCTGGCACTCCAGACTTCGTGATCAAAGGGAGGGGGCCTGGACCCTCCAGGACCCCCCCCCGGCCCTCCAAGATAGCAGCCTGGAAGAGACCCCCCACCCCCCCTCCCTTTATTACGAAATCTGGAGCATGTAGCTCCAGCCCTGGGCCCCTAAAAAGGGGGAGGAGAAAACCAAGACCACCAAGGTCCAGAGATCCCAGCAGGCACAGGGCCAGGGGACACCAACAACGGGCCCTTTATTATACGACATCTGGAGCAGACTTGCCTGTGGCCGAGCACCGGCACCGGCCCGCCGGCTCTCCCCGGCCCCTCCCGCGCAGCCCGGCTCCACTGCGGAGGCTCGGTTTTCCGGGCCTGGTCCGGCTGGACTTCGGTCGGGCCCGCCCCGGCGCGCCGAGGCCTCCGCGGCGTCCGCGGCCGTGGCCTGCCAGCACGGCGGGGCGCCGTCGACGTCGCCGACGTCGTCGACGTTGGTCCGGACCAAGCCCGGCTTGGTCCGGGCTTGGGCCTGCCCTTCTACAGGAGGAATCTGCAGAAAAGCAGTCAAAGAACAGTCTGGGCACTATTTGTTTCTAACTATCTGTGGACCTTTTTTCCGGAGTATTCTGGGACCATCTCTTTTTTTGTTCCTCCGCCAAAATCCCCCTGTAGGAGGACAGGCCCGACTTAAGGCTTCATCCGCCTCGATGGCCCTCGGATCGGGTAGCCTTACGTCGGGGATGTCCCTCTACAGGAGGAATCTTCAAGAACATACTAAAAATAGTGTGGGGACGATTGTTTGACTTTTCCTGCGTTTTGCTTGGCTACTTTGCACTTTCGTCCAAAATCCGCCTGTAGTAGGAGATGCCCGACCTCAGGGTAGCCTTGAATTCGGAAACTGGAACATGTACATTACCAGTTGCGGGCTCTCTTTCAATCCCAGGACTTTCCGAGGGTCGGGGACGACAGCGGGGTGGTGTGGTGTATACCTTTTCCCCATTTCCCCAGGGAAACATCGACAACTGCATACACCAGGACCCATATACACGTGGATCCGCTTTCCTGTGAGAGTTTGAGCGCAGGGCCGGAAAAAGCGTTTGTGTATAGAGTTCGGTTCCCTACTTAATCTTAAGTCGGGCCTGTCCCTCTACAGGGGGAAAATTCAACAATAGTCAAACATCGTATAAGGACGATTTTTGTTTTGAATGGTTTGACCATTTTGGGGAGTAAGTTTTGAGTATGTTTTATTTTTCGTCGAAAATCCCCCTGTAGGGGGACACGCCCGACTCAAACTTAGTCGCCAATCGTTCTTGCGAAGACCTCCAGGAGTGGCTTAACCTCAGTGTCTCGCGACCCATGCTTCTCACATTCCTGTGGCATTGTGGCCCCCTCGGAAGGATCTTGTGTCCTCTCGCGTGTCCTGTCCAATCAAGGCCGACTCTAATCGCCAGTCGTTCTTGTGCAGGCCTCCAGTCGGAGGTGGACAGACCTCCTACCTTGACACGTCGATTCAGGAATTGGCCGTTTTCGGTCCGCGAGATCTTGTGTCCTCTCGCGTGTCCTGTCCAATCAAGGCCGACTCTAATCGCCAGTCGTTCTTGTGCAGGCCTCCAGTCGGAGGTGGACAGACCTCCTACCTTGGGGGAAAAAAACCCCCAAACGGGCGTCGATTCAGGAATTGGCCGTTTTCGGTCCGCGAGAGGGCGTCGCGGCCGCCATTTCTGCGGGTCCAGGTCCGTCGGTTTCGGTCCCAGGCCGCTTTCACTAGAGGGTGGTTTGCCAAAGGGAGGTTTGTCCACCGCCGAAGGGTGCGGGATAAGGATTCAAGGGCCTTGGACGCCCATTTCGAAGCTTTTCGAGCGGGGCGCGGCCAGCGAGAACGGCGAGGGATGGACCGAGGAGGCGAGGATGCAAGGGTACCCGTTGGGAAGGTTTGTCCACCGCCGATCCGGGCGCGGCTTCCGCGGGGCGTGCTGGGGAGCCGTGCGACTGCGACGGCCGTGCCGGTCGCCGGGGGCGCCTCTTCTTCTCGTCCAGTGGCAGCTGCGGCCTCTCCGGTGCACAGCTCCGAGGTGTGCGGCCGCTCTCGAGCAGTGGCGAGGCGTCCCGGCTCGCCTATCGCCTCACCAAGCAATGTTCTCAGAACTTTGTTGTGGCTTCCACGGAATGTTCTTAGAACATGTCTGGCGGAGAGGGTCTTGTTTCAGCACGTCGCGTCGATGTTCTAAGAACATGGTCTTTGTTCTCAGAACATCTCTGGGTTCTAAGAACATGTCGTGGTAGGACTGTAGGAATGCAAGGACGGTCGGTCCCTGCTCAACTCTCTCGGCAGGGGCCATCGAGGAGCATATTGGGTCATCCTGCGAAGGAATGCAGCCAACACGCCGAAACAAGGAACGGTTTGGGTTCGGAAGGTGATCGATGTTCCTGAGGTTCCTCCAGTGCTGTTCCTCATGCCCTCCTGGGGCACGGGGGCGCTCACAGGGCCAAGAAGGGGCTTCGTTCCTTATTTAGCGTTCCTTCTTTCAGCGGCCCGACTGTACAGTGTCCGAGGCGGGAATGTGTACATGACCACCGCCTGGAGGGTCAGTTTTCGGAGCCTCGGCAGGCGGTGGAATTGGACATGTTCGGGCCCCCGGGGGCCGAAATGTATCTACATCCACCGCCCGCAAGGGCACCAGGACGTCGGTTCCCAGTCGGTGGATGTGGGTAAATCCCCGCCTCGCACAGTGGGGACCCCTGCCAAGAAACGCCCTGCTTGCCTCCACGGTGTTCTGGGTGTCGTGGGTTTCGACGGTTCTGCGTTCGGAGCGCGCGGCGCTCCCGCGCCAGAGACCACTGGGCGTCCTGGGGTCTCGGGGTTGGGCTTCTTTCCTGTGGGCTGGCCTCGGCTGTGCACGCACGAAGCCGGAGCTAGGGGGTCACATGCGAACCCCACCCTCCCCCTCAGAAATCGTGGGGGGTAGGGGTGGGGTCCGCACGTGTCCCCCTAGGAGCATGCACGGGGAAGCGACGCCCGAGCGAGGGCGAGGCGTGCGGGCGCGCGCCGGTGCTCCGCGCTGCCCTCGGGCCCGGCGCCGGCGGGGTCCCGGTCGAGCTCCAGGCGCGGGCCGCAGGCAGTTGGGCAGGATGCTCTCGGGCAGCACAGCTCACGGCACACACGCACACATACACACACACACGCACGCACGCACGCACACACACACACACATACACACACACACACGCACGCACGCACACACACAAACATTCACACACACACACACACACACGCACACACGCACGCACGCACGCACGCACGCACGCACGCACGCACGCACGCACGCACGCACACACACACACACACACACACATACGGCGGGGGCGTTCGTCAGGGAGTGTGCCTGGGTTGCTTCGGGCCTTACATGCGGTTCTGCCTCAGTGTTCATTTCACATATGAGATCCATACCATCCCAGTTGGGCTGGGTTCGGCACCCCCCACCGTTCTCGTCAACCAGTGCTATGAAGGCGCACCCGTTTACCCTCACAAAAATGGGGCGAGGTGCACACGCGCGTTTCGTCGCACGTGCATGCCGAAATATTTCAGAATTGTAGGTTCCGTAATGATTCCAAATCGAGTGTCCCGACACCACATGAAAACACATGGCGTTGCAACATGATGTTTCAAACAAGGTCTGCGCGCGCGATGCCCATGGCCCATGGTCAAGCCTTAATTGGTGTTCCACCAGCTTTCAGACCATGGGTTCTTTATCCAAGGGTTCCTTACCCAATGCCCTCACAGTATAAGTTTCTGGAGATCCGCACGGATTCTTCAGATTGGCATTGGGGCCCCCGGACCCCCTGGCGCGCTCCGCGCGCCAGGGAGGGGGTCCAGCGCCGATCCGAGAAATTCGCGCGGGCTTGCGAGAAAGCGCAAAGGCTGTGCATGGTTTTGTCTCCTGAGTTGGACAGGAGTTTCAGGTGCAACGGT